CATGTGTTTTCCATTGCAGTGTTGCGTTGTATCTGTGGAGTGAAGCTCAATAACATCACGAATGTGCAGAGGTTCAGAGGTTCATGCAGAAGTGGCTAGCTCATGTTGTTACGGGGTTGGTTGTATCTGTGGTTTAATTCTAGCTTAAACTGAAATCTGTTAAGTCTACTGTCACCATATTTCAGTCTTATTGAAGTTCTATTGTGAGGCATTTACGTCATTACCTGATTTCATGATGATAATTGCATTTAAGAAACCATCCAGACACATTTCGTGGATTTTTTTAAGTTGTTACATATTCAGAAGTGTGGGGTCAGGCTGCATTAATACATGTAGTAACTTGAGGATAGAAGGATTAAATGACATTGAGACTGAAGCAAATGAACTTGTGTGAAGAGCTCAGTGCTTGCTGACAGAATTCAATGCTGTAGGAGAAAGCCCCCTTCCATATGGCACGCCGTTTGTAAAAAAATTATGGATGCTTGTTATGTCACATCCTAAGCTTACTATGTCATGTTGCATCTTACAATGTCACATCCTAGCGTACAATGTCACATCTGGAACTAATGGTCACGACCTTGTCATGTGATTTAACACGTGATTAATACAATGTCACATTGTAAGTGATCTTGACATCACGTGAGTGTCACGTGATTGTTAGCACCAAGTGTCAGTAAATAATGGAGGTTTTGTTAGAGTATGGATCTTCAAAGAGAGAGTTTAAGCTGTCAAAGGATGAAGATGTATTTCAAGCATTAGAAGTGGCCTTTCAACAATTCGAGCCTGGTTTATCTTTTGGTATTTCACAACAGCGAGATGTAAAACCAACTCACTTTTTGCAGCGGTATTTGGAGAAGTGGCGTGACTATATTGATGTGTCTCATAAGGGGGAAATAAGTAATGGGGACAAAATTCGAGCTGTTGTAAGGACTGAAAAAGATGAAAAAAATGAAAAGGTTTGTGGTGCTCTCTTTTTATGTGATCCCGTTTGTGCCTATAGTTTTATTATGAAGGTGTGATGCCTTGCCTCTTATTCTCTAAATCCATACTATATTTTTCATTGTGTTAGAATGTTTCACAAGTTCTTAAAAGAGGATCAGGTGCTTGCGTAGGGATTAAAAAACCAACAGAGTCTGATTCAAAAGTACTTCGTTCACTCTTCCCTGTTTTGTCAGCTTCACGCTCTTTCCAGATGAAAAGGAAGTTCAATCCCCTTGATGATTGTGTTGTCTCCAAACAAAAACAGAAGAAGAAAGCCACACGGATTAAACCTCGCAATGTGATGGTTGTTTTGATGACTGAGGGCGACACTTCTGTTCCACGAGGTAATAAACGGAAATCTATGGCACAGAATGGATTCATTAAGCAGTGTGAGCTTTTACGTGATATGTCACGTGTTGAAGTTGAAAATAAGCTCATTAAATTGTTCTCAGAAAAAATATCGACAAAGAATGCTGGTGTTAAATTTTTGATACCAGATCCGAAGCTTCACATCGTAAGGGAGACAGGAGATAAGGAATTAGATGGAAATGACACCATTGAACTCGCAGGGCAGGGTAGTTTGTATATTAGAATAGAGGTAAATATAATATAAATTAGAGTTTGATGAAGTAGATTAATTGACTAGAATCGTTCAAAAGATGAGAACAGGGAAGTAATGAAGCCTGATGATGTCGATGATGATGACAGTGATCTACCCAAAGTGAAGTGGAAGAAGATAGAAAATGAGGTAAGTAGATACAATAATATTTGATTGGTGATCTCTTGTTATGTTGTAACAGGAAGATGAGACAGATAAAGTTGTGGACCTAACTTCTGAGGATGACACAGAACTGACACAAGAGGTTAATTAGTTAAATATTGATTAATTTAGAATGTTTTGTTACTGTAGAGTCTTGAAGATTGGCGGAAGCTTCGAAGAGAGCAAGAACTACAATATGAAGAATCCCTTCGGGTTGATCAGCAGAAAGTAAGTTATCTTACCTACACGTATGGTATTACTGAGATAATGTCTATAATAATTAGGCACAACAACAAGCTAATGACAGTGATAAAGTAAAGGTCAGTAACTGGGAGTATAGTGACTACATGCATAACAGTAGTATCAGGTGCTTATTCCATTAATTAATTTGTATATCTGTTTAGAGAAGAGAAGAGGAAAAGACCAAGCTTCAGTTGTATTTTTCAGAGCGAACGCTTCCTCATGTAGCAGTCAAGTTAGCAGTGAAGTTGCAGGACGGCACCAAAATTCATGGATCCTTTTCTGCTGATGATTCGATGAAGGTCTGTGATGTATACAGCATTATTCCAGTAACAATTCCACATATACCCTATTTACAAATAAGTTCCTTTACTTTAATGTAGCACATTTCTTTTTTTTTGTTGCAGTTGGTATACCAGTATGTTTATGCTCACACAGAAGTCAAAACTTCCTTTAAATTATGCACTGGAGCAGTTCCAATGGAGGTATTGCAGCCTGATGAGAAGTCTTTAGCTCAGTATGATTTGAGAGCGTCATCACTACTACTATTAGAAGAAACTCCCTCTAATGATGATGACAAATGGATTGATGAATTAGTAAGGACATTCATATATTTTTTATTGTTTACTTGCTTCCTTTTTCCATTAGACTCATTGTAAAGAAGCTGAAATTATTCAGGAAGTCAAGGGCAACATTTCATGTACTGATATACTAATGAAAGGTACTCTATTACCATGTTTAAGAACCATATACAGCTTGTCACCTCCCACAATCCAGATTGTTCTCCCCCTATTTGGCAGCCCCACTTGGGTTATTACATGTATGCCATAATGGTTACATTACTTAGTGTACATGTTACATTTAAAAGAAACTAATAAAAACATTTATATTAAGTTTTGTTTCTTTCATGATTCACACATATATAGAAGAGAACACCAGGAAAGAATTTGTGAAGACATTTCGTACTCCTTCGAAGGAACTTTACACTGTTGCCCGGTCTTCACTGTTTGATGATGTAATCTCTCTATACAAAGAGTATCCTGGTATAACGAATGAATGTCCTTTAGAAATGAAATTGAAAGATGAATTAGCTGTTGATTTAGGTGGCGTGTCTAAAGACATTGTTTCAGGATTTTGGCAAGAGGCGTATGAACGATTATTTGATGGTAGTATCTCATTTGTTCCTGCTGTTCGTCCACACGTTGAGTTTTCATTATTTGAAGTTCTCGGTAAAATTTTATCTCATGGATACTTCTGTACTGGGTTTCTGCCGACACAAATATCTTTTCCTACTTTGGCTGCTATGATTTTGGGTTGTCAAGTACAAATAAGCCCATCTATTCTACTTGAATCTCTTTTCGATTATGTTAGTGATGTGGATCGTTCTGTGTTGTCAACAGCTCTTCAATTTTCAAAAGATAATCCAAATCTAAAGTTTCCATCTCAAATTTTGGACTCATTGTTGAATGTATTTAGTCATTTTCAGTGCAGAAGAGTACCTGATCCATTATCACTCCGTCTCACTTTAGTTGATATAGCTCGTTTTGTTTTTCTTACTAACCCAATGTCTGCTATTAATGCAGTCAATTTAGCTATTCCTCAATCACATGTTCCTTTTTGGAAATCTAAGTCAATATCTGATTTGTACAAGCTGTACCTGGCACTTACTGCTACACCTTTCAAAGTTCTGAGCTTACTAGCAGAGCCTAAGTTCTTAAATGCCTCTCAAGAGACTGTTTTTGGCTACTTACAGCAATTCATTGGAAACATGACACGGGACCAAGTTAAGATGTTCTTACGTTTTGTGACGGGCAGTTCGGTATGCAGTACTAAAGAAATTGAAGTTCAGTTCAACTCATTGTCTGGTGTTGCTCGGAGACCCATTACTCACACTTGCAGTAATATATTGGAACTGTCTATGACTTACCATTCTTATTCGGAATTTGCCAAAGAATTTCGATTGGTGATGTCTGATGAAACTTACTCTTGGATCATGGATGGATTGTAATTATGCAGTTAGGCTCATAAGATAAAACGTATCATTATAATCACTGTATTATATAATCACTGTATATAATCACTAAATTTCTCTTGATTTTGGTACATTACAATAAAAATTATTATTTCAAATCAATGACTTGTCAAAAAACGAACAACTGCACAGTATTTATCAATACCATAATCATTGTCATCAGCTATCATATCAATATTTTGACAAAGTTCCTGGTAAACTTCTTCTGATATATTTAGCCTTGTTTCAGGTATTTCATTTTCAACACGACTGTCCTACAGTGCATATAAAACAAGACCAATTGAATATATGTAATATATGCATGTAAGCCTGCTAAAACAAAGATTAACTAGAAGCTATAAAACATGCTTATTATTACAAGAGCTATATAGTTACTGTACTAGTACTTAAAAGTGTAACTCTAGTAAACCAAAATATAATACAAAATTATTCATACTACACAAAATATACAAACAATAATGTGTAATACCTCTGATTCATCATCTTGTGGTAATACATTAGTATCAACACCATATTCCTCACCAACTGTCTGAAATAAATCCATTGCTTCCAAACCAGAATGCTGCAACCGCAAAGCTCCAGCATGAAAAAGCTGCAAAGGAGATTTATTATTCTCAGTTCTAATGCCATGCATATTCCATCCATCCTTAAAAGCTTCAAGTGATTTGTTAATTCTTGGAAGATACACAAAATGCAAAGCAAAAAGATGAACTTCATTGGCAGGATCCAGTAATCTCCTTTGCTCCAAATAGTAGAATAATCGATAATATAGCTGCGTGACACAACGATGTAGATCTCGCCAAAGACGTTCTATACGCTGGTTATGTACAGAACTTCCAGTGATTATACTTCCTCTTCCGTGACCTCTATTTTGGAGCATAAACTGAGCTACAAGCATGTTTTCTCGACCTTGATCTGTTCTGACACGTGATGGTACACCAAACCTGCTAACAGCATCAAGGAAACTGTGTAAAACAGTAGAAGCACGATTGTTTGTAGAACATTTAAGAAACACAACAAGGCGACTGTAACCATCGATTCCACAGTGAGTGACAAAACGCCACCTTATCAATTTGTGGTGGCCATCTATAATCAATAATAGTACATATTAATGTAATGTATAGTGATAGAACAAATTAATATTTAAATATTAATGAAATAATTAGGCACCACCCTTTCAATGGTGATGTATTCTCTTTGTATGTGAGAGCATGGTAAGAGGAAGCTTATTAACATTTTGCATTCGTGTATTAGACTTCAGTTTTACATAACTTAGTAGGACCATCATGTGGTAATTAAATTTTCAGTAATCATCCTTTTAAAATTTTCATTATAGCATAAGTATTTCATTATTCATCCCAGCACTAATTTAATGAAAATAATAAAACAGGGCTTACCAATATGCCATAATGAATTTGGTCCTGGTACAGAATATGGACGACGTGCAGTGATGCTGAATCCCCAGCGTAGAGTTACATTTAAAGGATCTGTTCTTCTTAAAATTGAACGAACTCTTTCTCTTGATACATAAATACCTACAGCTCTGAGATGGCCCATTATCAATGTTTCACCAGAATATGGATTATCATGACGTAACTGCTGCAAAACTTCATTTAATTCCTGATTACTTATCTGATGCACATCCAAACCATCGTCGTCTAACATTCCAAACTCACTTCTACGCCTGTATATTGTCATACGTGAAATACCAACTAAGTCTGCAATCTCTGTCCATGAAAAATTTAATTGCCGAAGATACTCCAGTTGACTCCTGTGAATATTAAACGATAGTCGACCTTGTAAACCACTGTACAAGGGCCCTGCTTGGTATTGTGTAGATATGTTGCTCTTCTCTAAATATTCATCCCAATATGACAGTAGCCATAAAATGCAATATTGCAGTGTATTTATTAGCTCTAAGTATCTCCTCACTACTTCTTCTACCTCAAGTTCTGTTTCTGGTTCAATTAGTGCGGTTTCGAGGACTTCTTGAATTTTCTTGACGTTTTAGAGACCAAGTTCCAGCTTCTGCGCTACATAATCTACAAACCGTTCATTGGCCGTTCCAATTTGAGACTGGCATGAATCAAAAACATTTTCCAGTTCTTGAAAAAAAGCTGTCCATCCAAAACTCTCCATTGTTACTTCTGGTACACACACACGTACATCCCTACTAGATCACGTGATCATAACCATGTGACATTGTAAGAGCAATAATAATCACGTGACAAATCACATGACAAGGTCTTGACCATTAGTTCCAGATGTGACATTGTACGCTAGGATGTGACATTGTAAGATGCACTGTGACATAGTAAGCTTAGGATGTGACATAACAAGCATCCACAATTTTGTTACAAACGGCGTGCCATACTTCCACCAGTGGTAGAATCTGGTAAAGCTTGTCGTCCAATGTTTATTATTGCTAAAAACCAGTTGGTTTATTTAGTGGAGAATCATTGCACGGTTCCCCAAATGGCTGGTATAATGGTTGTATTGTTGAGCTCAT